TGTATTTTAATTCTTTATACTTCGATTTTATTCAAAAAGATTGTATTTTTTTTTATTTACAGATAGTTTTTTGGGAAATATAAAAATACAAAACAATTATAATTAAATCATAATTTATGTCAAAACAATGATGCAAAGTAATATAACTACAGTAATTTACTGTTATAGAAATGTGCAAGATTTTCAACTACATTTAATAAGAAACTGTTTACTGACTTACTTATTATTAATTTTATTTCTACGTAATATTTGTGGTTTGTTCGAGGAAAGTTTTGAGTTTCAAGAAAAAGAATAATTATCATGATAAAAAACTTTTTCAGCATCTTTAAACATCTACATTGACAAAATATAGTTTAAAAATGAAAATTCATTTATCTAAATTAACGAAACCAAAACTACAGTTAAATTACAGCTATTTCTTTAAGCGGTCCTGGCGCCTCTACCAAAATTTTCAATAAAATTTTTTAATGTATAATTGATGGTAACATTTGTGTATCTTCATAAATAAATAGTTCGTATACATTATATACTTATTTTGTTTCTTATGTAACATTTATTTGGATTATTATTAAACATTAATATAAAATTAATTCCTAATCCAGTACAGATTACTTCAAGACTTCCCTAATTTGATTAGTCACTTGATTTGGAGAAACTACTCAAAGAATGAAATCAAATTGTATAGCTTTTGAAAACATCCATTTCGATTTTGCCTAAGATTTTTTGAATATATGGAATGAACTATGAAAAACAAAAAGCAATATTTTTACCTGACCAGCTAATGTTTGGCATAGCATGAGAAATACTTTGAGACCTGGTTCGGCAACATAACTTTGATGAGCCCATAATCTGTGAGCACCTGCTGTTACTCCTAATATACCAAATACTGTCAATACAATACCTGAAATCAAATCATTACAATGCAAAATAATTCAATATTTATTTTGTAATAAATTGTAGGTCTGTTTCAATGCTAGAAGAGTGATGTTTTATGTTCAGTCCTTTAACAATACCCAAGAACAACATAATATTATCTACTTATACTATGTGGAACAAAGCAGTAAAATGGCATAGCTTTCTTTTAAAGTAATACTTATTATCGAATTCGCCGTCCCAAATTGACTCTCCCGCCCGATAACAAAACGCTTTATCATTACATTCGGTTGTTTGCAACATTATCCTTTAATTATACACATGAACAGCATACTATTATCTACTAATACCATGTAGAAGAAAGTAGTAAAATAGTATAGCTCTCTTTTATACTAATATTCATTACCGAATTCGCCGTCCCAAATTGACTCGCCCGGCCAATAACAAAACGCTTTATCATTACATTCGGTTGTTTGCAACATTATCCTTTAATTATACACATGAACAGCATACTATTATCTACTAATACCATGTAGAAGAAAGTAGTAAAATAGTATAGCTCTCTTTTATACTAATATTTATTACCGAATTCGCCGTCCCAAATTGACTCGCCCTCCCAATAACAAAACGCTTTATCATTACGTCTGGTTGTTTCCAACATTATCCTTAAACTATACACATGAGCAGCGTACTATTATCCACTTATACCATGTGGAAGAAAGTAGTAAAATAGTATAGCTCTCTTTTATACTAATATTTATTACCGAATTCGCCGTCCCAAATTGACTCGCCCGCCCAATAACAAAACGCTTTATCTTTACATTCGGTTGTTTGCAACATTATCCTTTAATTATATACATGAATAGTACACTATTATATACTTATACCGTGTGAAAGAAAGTAGTAACGTACTATAGCTCTCTTTTATACTAATATTTATTACCGAATTCGCCGTCCCAATTTGACTCGGCCGGCCAATAACAAAACGTCTCATAATTACGGTTGGTTGTTTGCAATATTATCCTTTAACTATACACGTGAACAGCCTACTATTGTCTACTTATACCATGTGGAAGAAAGTAGTAAAATATTATAGCTCTCTTTTGAACTGATATTTATTACCGAATTCGCCGTCCCAAATTGACTCTCCCGCCCAATACCAAAACGTCTCATCATTACGTTTGGTTGTTTGCAATATTATCCTTTAACTATACACGTGAACAGCCTACTATTGTCTACTTATATCATATGGAACATAGTAGTAAAATATTATAGCTCTCTCTTAAATTGATATTTATTACCGAATTCGCCGTCCCAAATTGACTCGCCCGCCCAATAACAAAACGCTTTATCATTACATTCGGTTGTTTGCAACATTATCCTTTAATTATACACATGAATAGTACACTATTATATACTTATACCGTGTGAAAGAAAGTAGTAAAATAGTATAGCTCTCTTTTATACTAATATTTATTACAGAATTCGCCGTCCCAAATTGACTCGCCCGCCCAATAACAAAACGCCTTATCATTACGTTTGGTTGTTGATATTTATTACCAAATTCGCCATCCCAAATTGACTCTCCCGCCCAGTAACTATAAGCTGAACGTGTGGTTGTTTGCTACTTTATCCTTAAAATATATACATGAACAACGTACTATTATCTACTTATGCTATGTACAAGAAAGTAGTAAAATTTTATACCTCTCTTTCAAACTAACATTTATTACCGAATTCGCCTTCCGAAACTGATTCGGTTTAACAATAACAAAACGCTTTATCATCACAATGTTGCATATTTTACTACATTATTCATTACCTATGTAAAAAGTCATAATACGACTTGTTTATGCTACGTTTATGACATTTAAATGCTTTATCACGAAGAGTACTATAGCTGCGTAATTGTTGCATTTTCTTTTATAGCTATTTAATTGAATTGTTGCGAGCGTCACTGATTTATTTGCTTTTAATTGAAGGCGTAAATTACCGTCTGATTTAAAAAAAAGTATTCAAAGTGTAATTCGTATTCAGGCAGGCGGATGAAACTGTTGTGTAAGCAGACTGCAATTATTCTAATAAGAGACTTGATGCGATATCACACACACAAATAATGTCGACATACGTGAGTCCAATTTTTATCGGGTGTCGACCCTTATTTTGAAAGTTGTTTTATTCTAAACAGTCGATCGCCCACTCGTTGTAATATTAATTTATTGTCTCGCGGACGCGTTAAAAATGCTATTTTATAGGTACTGACAAATGAAAAATGAAAGTTTAAAACTAAATATTTTGTGTTAATTATCCTTAATTAATTATGTTTTCTCGTTTGAGAATTAATATCTATAGTAGGTACAAAATTTAAAAGCAAATTTTCTTACTTACTAAAGAGAGTAGTTAAAATTGAAGCTTCTAAGAAGACCATAAAAAGTCCGCAGACCATAAGTACATGGACATGAATGTAGAAAAGGACTTTAATCCAGTCTAGATCCTTTTGGTGATTTTCGGTATCACTAATCGTTCTATCGCTGCCCATTTTAATGAAAACTGTTACCAAAAAAGTTCCCGGTAAAACTCGGATTTGTATGCAAGAAAGAAAAAAATTCTTTTAGCGAAGACACAAATTTCACCGCGTCGCAGGTCGAGTGTCAAAGGTGTACTGAAGACATTATTATCGAAGTGTTAAGCAAACCATTGTTCGAAGTTGGAGGAAATGAAACTATTTTACATAGCCAATAGTTTCGGGGTCTACGTAAACAATACATTAACGAGTAAAGTTACAACACAATTTTTATGTTGCAACCTTGAAGTTAATAGAGAGCTTTTTTGTGTTTTCATTTTAGCTTTTTTTGGACGGTTTGGAGAAAATGTAACTCAATAACTTTCATTTTGATTAATGTCGCCGTACAGGCTTCGGTCAACTCCACAACGATAAATTGTTGCTGCACAACCATTACCTAGGTACAAATATGCCTTGAAAAATTGTAATCAATATCTACTTAACTATTAATTAATAAATACAGAGTGGATTACAAAAAACGTTCCACGTCATAACGTCATACTTTTTGGGACAAAGTTTCTTATTTGATTATCTATGTTTTGTTTTTTTATGTGGTATCCGATGATCTTTAAGACATACTTAGAACATCAATGTGACCAAAGCCGCGAGGGTAAAATATATCATGAAACATTGTATATACATTGTCAGGGGTACACAAAAGGATACAGGGTACTTTTTATCCAGAAAAAAAATACTGTTCCCTAAGCATATAAAAATTAGTTTTATGTGGTTGTCGATGATATTTGAAACATATCCAGGACATCAATGCGAGCGTAGCCGCGAGGGTAAAACCTATCATGAAATTTTGTACACACATTGTCAGGGGTACTGAAAAGAACCTAGGGTACCTTTTATCCAGAAAAAAAACACTGTTCCCGAGGGACAAAAAAATAGTTTTATGTGGTTTCGATGTTATTTGAAATATGTTTAGGACATCAATGCGAGCGAAGCAGCAAGGGTAAAACCTATCATGAAATTTTGTACACACATTGTCAGGGGTACAGAAAAGGATATAGAGTATTTTTTATCCAGAAAAAAATACTGTTCCCTAGGGATACAAAAATTAGTTTTATGTGGTTGTCGATGATATATGAAACATATCCAGGACATCAATGCGAGCGAAGCCGCGAGGGTAAAACCTATCATGGAATTTTGTACACACATTGTCAGGGGTACAGAAAAGAATCTAGTGTACCTTTTATCCAGAAAAAAATACTGTTCCCGAGGGATACAAAAATTAGTTTTATGATCTTTGACACATACTTAGGACAACAATGCAAGCGTAGCCGCGAGGGTAAAACCTATCATCAAATTTCGTACATATATTGTCAGGGGTGCAGAAAAGGATATAGGGTACTTTTTATCAAAAAAAAAAAATACTGTTCTCGAGGGATACAAAAAATAGTTTTATGTGGTGGCCGATGACATCTGAAACATATTTAGGACATCAACGTGAGAAAGTCGAGGGTAAAATCTAGTAGTTTATAAACTAAAATACTAAAAAATCTTTTAGGCCTAATAAGCACCATGTACACGAAGTTATTTTTCGTTTGTTATGACTTCTAGAAATTGAATTAGTTAAAGAGACGAGCATCAAATTATAAAAATTGACGTAGACATAAAAATTACTGAAAAATGTGTAACCTATTTAAAGGCCTGTAATTGAACGTTCAAAAACCTATTTTTTTTGAACGCGTGTACGTACTATTGTCGTTTTGGTATAATAATGAGTTCGTTCGGTGTCGATTTCTCTTAACCTTTCACCTCCGATTCTTTATAAAGAAACACAAACTCGATTTCAAATTGCAAAAACAGTTTCACTGCCAATTTTTTTTAAATTTCTTATTCGCTTAGGTAATTCACTAAACAATTACCTGCTTACGTTATTCTAAAATTGATATAATAAAAAAATAAATCAATATTGACAAAAGTTTGGCTTGTTAGGCAGTTTGTTGTAGATAATACATATTTTAATTTTTGCAATGTAGTCACAGTTAATATTGATAAGTTAAAATTAATATTAGATTTCTATTTATTTGTCATTATCATATTACAAATTGGGAAATATCATGTCTAGCTTTTATACAAAAACAAATAGGGGAAAATGACGCTTGTGATTAGTAAGTTTCACTCGATTTATTACCAGATTTGTTTCAACCAAAAGTAGCAGTATCTTGTACGGTTTGAAATTGATGCTTTAATCGACATAAATTTATCAGATTTAATAAGTAATAAATTAAAACCAAAAGTCAAGTATTAGTTTTCATCATTCTTTTTTGTTTCATTAGGGATTTTATATTACAAATTTAATTCATACTTTGTCCTACCTTTTATTGAAATGCAATTTAAGATAATAAATAATAATCAAAGCAAATGCTATATGTCTACTAGAAAAGTAATGAAAAAAGTAAACAGATAATTCTTCACTAAAACAGCGACGTATAACGGAATTCGTTTTATGATGGTACACAATTTGCGACTGTGTCACTGTATGTTGTGAGCAAACTAAAATGCCTGCTCAACTGTTACTTATTCTTCAACATTGAGGACCCCTGAAACAGCATTCCCTACCTCCAATGTAATGTTAATGGCTGAGCGGATCAATAATCTATCTTTGCTCAAACGAGCTACGAACGAATAGCCAGATCAATTCGCAAACAATGAACGCGTAATAGTACCTAAGTTAATTATTAATAATTAAAATAATTCATTCAATTTTGTACTATGGTGCCGCTTGGTTTGTTTTGTATAAAAATGTATGGGACTGTAATAATTCACTTGTCCTCATTAGAGATCTGTCAGTAGGAATAAATAGAAGCAGGCTGAAGAGGGTCTTCTGCCTTACCTCTCGGCTTTGCACCACGTGATAACGAAACAAGTTTCAGTTGTTTTTAATCATTTTTTAGAATGAATGAACGAATGAAACTACATGGCAACAGAAAATAAACATTTATTCGAAAGCACATTTACACATTTTCATCATCAGCAGAACAAATAAATAAATAATGTTACATACAAATCGTATAATGGAATGCATATCGCATGTAGATGACACATTGCTTCGACAATCGACACACACTCTTAAAAAAATCATGTTATCACTAACATGCTATTATATTATTTAAAATAACATTATGAACAACGTAAAGTTTTCATTACAATTGCACTTGTGATTACTGGTACAACTCTTTGGTTAGTGTAGTGTATAATATAGACGACAAAATTGCGTAGCTCTTGTTAGGATAATTCTTCGAAATCGTACACTTTCAAATACATACCCAAGTATTGCTCTATAATAAAGTAATCATTTTGTCGAAAAATATTTTTTTATAAACATTGGTCCTTCCTTTGCGTTACAGATCTAATCTTGTTACGTAAATCGAGAAATGACAAATTAATTTTTTTGTCTCCTTATACTTTTATTAAGCATATTACTGAAATTAAAAAGTAGAGACGGCGTAAAAGCCAAAGTAGAATTGAAAATGTGATTGCAACAACATCGAGAAATAACTAGTTTAAAACTAAAAATGAAAACAAAAAAAGCACTTTAAAAAAACCCGTTCGGCACAATTACCGCATGCGCCCTGTCTGATAGAGAGGCGCCTCCTATACGAGGGTTTGCAACACTTTTATAGGGAGTTCAGGGCGCAGGAAGAAAAACGCAATCCTAATAATCCTAGGACTACATACATATATGCGTTTCTTTTCCAATATCTGTGACAACTTCATCCTCCCTTAATATTTGGTCATCTCTGTTCATGCACTTAAGATCATCACGAAAATGTTTCTCTAACCGTCCCCTGTCCCTCATATAGGGGACGCCCCTCTATCAAATAGGACACATAATCTTTATGGCTTATACTGAAAGGAACATTGTAAAAGATTATCGGCGTATTTGATTAAAAATTGGAAGGGTACTCATTCGAATTTCTCAGCTTTAGGAGGTTGTAGGTCGTCTGCATCATCCTTGTCTGTACAATTGACGCTGCTACTTAAAATCTCGCTCCCATCACCCGTTTTTCGAGCCCTGTTCTCTATCATTTTATTCGAGGCGTATTTGAGATCATAAGCCCAGCCTATTTTCGCAAAAAAATCGATGAAAACAGTCGAAGGGTTAAATTTCGAGCCCAGTTCGCTTGTTCTGTAATCCCATGGGAACACGTGATGGTAGTTGTGCCAGCCTTCGCCCAATGCTGCTATAGATACACTTGCATTTTCTACGGGACTTATGTACCTGTAATTGTGTAGATATTATTTGTCTTTAAAAGAAAACCAGATTTACTTTAGGAACTACCAACTAGAAAGCAAATCACAAACTAGTGATGGTCAAAGCAAAACCAAGATCAAGATTGTCCCAGTTTTGGTATTGGTTTTGCTCTTGTTCAAATACTTCTAGTCTTGCGTGTTAAGTCTTGATCTTGCTATTTTAATAATTGTCATGATTTTTAAAGAAAATAGTGTCGATAGTTGTGTGAATAAAAACTAGAGAACTTCCCCTTCCTGTAATGCATAAATTGACTCTTGCTCTAGCGCATAAATTGACCTTTTGATGAACAAAATAGTAAAAGTAAAAAATATCGAAAAAAAGACAGTTTGTCTCTACAATTTCAACCATGTGTTATCCAGATATAGGAGTAAAGAACTCTTTACTAGTACAAACTGTCTAACTGATACGATTTTATGTAATTTTCTAATATAATTAAGTTTAATTTTACGCGTATGAGATAGGTATATGCTTTTAGAATGAGTAGTAGACTGCTCGGCGTTGACTCGTTCCAAAAACATAGCGTCGGTTAAGACCACTTGATGTTCAATGAACTAATATTAAATGAATGCGAATTTGGCCAGAAAAGATTGGAAATTGTCACTCCTTTAATGAGAAATTAATGAGTATTATAAATTATTACAGATATTTACCTGTCAAAAGGTTTTTGTCCCCACATGTGTGCGATACTATTGACACAAAATGCAATGTTAAGTGTTGTACCAAATCTCGTATTAAAGTTGATCCAATAGGAATTCCAAAGTGTTTCGTTCCAGAAATAAACAGGAATACTTACTGGTAGACATATCGTTAACAAGAAGAACAAAATTGGATACAATCTATAGGGAAAAAAGTAAGTATTTAATTAAACTTATATAAGATGTTTTATAATAGGATTTAATTACATAATTAATTACTTAATTTGCGTAGCTAATGACCGGTAATCTTCACTTAAGAACGTATGCATGTAACTTGATACAAAAACGATTATGATGTATCAAAAATAAATATTCTAACATGTGTTGTCGAGTGTAAATGCAGCAAATAAAACCGCAACGCTTTTAGAAGCGCGTGTCTTAGTTTTTTTAAAACAATCTACATATATTAATAGAACTGTTTAAAAATACAGTGCGTCTGTTTCTTATTAAATAAAAAGCATAGAACTTTACAAGAGAGAAGTCAATTTAAGTAACATGCATACATATAATTGCTCTACAAAAAATTAAATTTAAAATCACCGGTTGTAAAGATATATGGATACCGCTGTAGATCTTTATAGATATCATGTCTTACAATTGGTAGATTTTAGAAGAAACAAGATTTAGTTTATGAAACTTAAAATCGCCGATAGTAAAGATCTACAGAGACCTGTCCAGAAATTAAAAATCTCAAGATTTTAGAATAGAGAGATCTAATCAGATTGCTACAGTAATTGTGTAATTTACAAACAATAAATCTTCGACTGTGGAGATTCATAATCATTTCTCTAGATCTTCCTGGATCTCAAAATATCTACCAAAAGTTTTAAGTATAATCTTAGCAGATTTTAGAAGAAACTTAAAGAAATTAAACTTAAAATCGCTGGTAGTAAAGATCTACAGAGACCTCTCTAGATATTCAAAGATCTCAAAAAGCCTTTTGTAAGTTTCAAGTCTAATCTTTTGAGATTTTAGAATAGAGAGATCTAATCAGATTGCTACAGTAATTTACAAATACATAAATTTAAATCAATAAATCTTTGGCTGTGAAGATCCACAATCATTTCTCTAGATCTTCCTGGAACTCAAAATATCTGCCGTGAATTTTAAGTGTAATCTTAGCAGCTTTTACAATAAATAAGGAGATCTAATTTATGAAAAATTAAACTTAAAATCACCGGTGGTAAAGATCTACAAAGACCTCTCTAGATATTCAAACATCTCAAAAAGCCTGTAGTTAGTTTCAAGTTTAATCTTTGGAGATTTTAGAAGTAATAGAGGTATCTAATCAGGTTGCTACAGTAATTGTGAAATTTACAAAAAATAACTTTAAATCGATAAATCATCGGCTGTGGAGATTCATAATCATTTGTCTAGATCTTTCTGGATCTCAAAATATCTGTCGCGAATTTTAAGTGTGATTTTAGAATAAATAAGGAGATCTAATTTATGAAAAATTAAACTTAAAATCACCGGTGGTAAAGATCTACAAAGACCTCTCTAGATATTCAAACATCTCAAAAAGCCTGTAGTTAGTTTCAAGTTTAATCTTTGGAGATTTTAGAAGTAATAGAGGTATCTAATCAGGTTGCTACAGTAATTGTGAAATTTACAAAAAATAACTTTAAATCGATAAATCATCGGCTGTGGAGATTCATAATCATTTGTCTAGATCTTTCTGGATCTCAAAATATCTGTCGCGAATTTTAAGTGTGATTTTAGAATAAATAAGGAGATCTAATTTATGAAAAATTAAACTTAAAATCACCGGTGGTAAAGATCTACAAAGACCTCTCTAGATATTCAAACATCTCAAAAAGCCTGTAGTTAGTTTCAAGTTTAATCTTTGGAGATTTTAGAAGTAATAGAGGTATCTAATCAGGTTGCTACAGTAATTGTGAAATTTACAAAAAATAACTTTAAATCGATAAATCATCGGCTGTGGAGATTCATAATCATTTGTCTAGATCTTTCTGGATCTCAAAATATCTGTCGCGAATTTTAAGTGTGATTTTAGAATAAATAAGGAGATCTAATTTATGAAAAATTAAACTTAAAATCACTGGTGGTAAAGATCTATAGAGACATCTCGAGATATTCAAAGATCTCAAAAAGCCTGTCGTTAGTTTCCAGTCTAGTCTTTGGAGATTTTAGAAGTAATAGAGAGCTCTAATTAGATCCCTTTAGAAAATGTACTTTCACGAAAAATTAAGTTAAAATCGCCAGTTGTAGTGATCCATACAAGTCTCTGTAAATCTCTACAGAGCCCAAAATGTCTGAAGTTAATTTCATGCGTAGTCATTCGGACTTTTCAATGAAACAGAGATCTAATTAAGACCTCTGTCGTAATTAATTAATTCCCGGACTGTTTATTTTTACTGAATCACTAACCTTTTCTGCCACATAACAATTGGGTCGGCTTCGAGATCGCTCATATCCACAGCTGCTCTTTTGGCTACTACGTCAGGGTGAGGTGTCAATACTAACCACCCTACGTGGGAAAAAAGGAATCCCCTTCGGGCATCATGGGGATCGGCATCGGTTTCACTATATTTGTGATGAACCCTGTGGTCTAATGCCCAAGCATAGACGTGTTTCTAAAATGTTTTGTTTTTATGGTAAACTTGCTAACGTAAAATGGATACAAAAGAGTATAGATAGGTACTAAATATTATTAATTATTTGGGATGATTAAGAATATAGTAATTAATTATCGTTATGGAGATTCATGGATCTCGAAATATCTGCCGTTCGTTTCAAATAAAATTTTTGCAGATTTTGGACAAAATAGAGATATCCAATCAGATGTGCTTTTTACGAAAACGTAACTCTAACTCATTATTTATGTATAGATGCATAAAAATCAATTTAGATCTTTAAATTTTTAAATGTTTGCCGTGAGATTCAAGTGTAATCTTTGGAGATTCCGAAAGTAATAGACAGATCTAAACAAATTACCGAAATAAATGTACAAATTATAAAAAAAACATAATTTTAAATCATCGATCACAGAGATTCATAAAATCATTTTTATAGATCTTCATGGATTTTCAGATATTAATTCCTTGAAAACAAGAAACTTCTTAAAAAAACACGAAACTTATAAACCCGTACGTTTTATTCTTTTTGATTTTGGATCCAGAAATAAGACGATGACAAATACGTTTTCTAAGAAAAACAGAGTGATTTTATGAGTTACAGGATTTAAAATAAGGAAAAATTTTGTTAAATTATCTTCCTGCTGCATGTATTTAGAATAAACAAAATTGCTTTTAGATGTGCACGCATTTTCATGGACATCGACGGAGTATATTTAGGGAGTAATAAATAAGATCGTTAAAAATCCAATTGGCACTTTATTGGTGAAATTTTATCACTTGTCCCGATTGTAATATCTTGTGTGACGTAACTGCAGTATTTTCAGATAAAAACAGATCCTGTACCAGGAAACCCTTTACTTTTCACAACAATTTATTGAAATAATCATTATCTCGTCATGAACGTTTCTTTTTAGATGTACTTAGTAAAGTTAAGTATTAACATTTTGTCATACGTTACACAATTGACTCTGGCATTTTCTATGCCACAATATTGTAAAGTTGAAGTAATTGACTTTTTTAGAACTTTCAGGCATGCTGATTCTTATCTTAGTCGATATTCATAATACATTTCGAAAATAAATAAATTAAGCACTGAAAAAGAATGGCGTGTGTTCACATATTTAGTTATTTAAGCAATTCTCGTATTTTTAAATATTGCTAGAAATATATTTATAATGTTTCGAACTAAAAACGACTTTTGTGATTTGATTGACTGTTAGTTTTAAAATTTACCAAAGCTGTGCTTCTAAATTTGTAAAAAAAAAAGTGTACACTCGAATTACCATCATCCACATATGTTTACTTTTAAGCGTGCATCTGTTAATAAGTATTTTACTCACTTGACCTGTAATTGTAAAAAGAAATACTAGAATCAGTCTAAGAGGCCATTTGGCCTTATAGGCACGGTGTGACCAAAGTCTATGAACCCCCGCTGTGATTCCAAACCCTGATGTATAGATCGTTGCTATTGCTAAAACAAAAAAGTTATAATACTACATCAGAAATATGTATAAAAATTTATAATAAAATAATTAAATCAAAATTTCCTGTTATTAAATTTTTTTTGTTGTTTTAATTTGTAATAATCTGGATAGGGATGAGAACCCAAAAATTAATTTTTAAAGCCAGTAGACTATAAAAAAGGTACTGCCCTAAAATGGCCTACATTTACATCGTGTTTATGGCATATTTGCTTTTCATTTAGCTTGTCGGCAAGCAAATAAGGGTAGGTAGTTTGGTGGTTACTCATAACTTCTATTCATGGATGACAGGTTGACCTAAATAATTATCATGTAAGTATGTACATAAATTCAGCCCGGTTTTTCTTTAAATCTGAAATGTTATTAATCAGGGGCAGATCTAAAATTTCAAAAAGGACCGGGCTCACAATTTTAGTCCTTTTTTCTAGAAAACTGAGATAAAAGGACTGGACCCACAACAATTTTTGTCCTTTTTTCTAGAAAATTGAGATACAAGGACCGGGCTCTCAACAATTTCAGTCCTTTCTTCTAGAAAATTGAGATAAAAGAACTGGGCTCAAAACAATTTTAGTCCTTTTTTCTAGAAAATTGAGACAAAGGACCGGGCTCAACAATTTCAGTGCTTTCTTCTAGAAAATTGAGATAAATGGACCGGGCTCTCAACAATTTCAGTCCTTTTCTCTAGAAAATTGAAATAAAAGGACCGGCCTCTCAACAATTTCAGTCCTTTTCTCTAGAAAATTGAAATAAAAGGACCGGCCTCTCAACAATTTTAGTCCTTTTTTCTAGAAAATTGAGATAAACGGACTGGGCTCAAAACAATTTCAGCCCTTTCTTCTAGAAAATTGAGATAAATGGACCGGGCTCTCAACAATTTCAGTCCTTTTCTCTAGAAAATTGAAATAAAAGGACCGGCCTCTCAACAATTTTAGTCCTTTTTTCTAGAAAATTGAGATAAACGGACTGGGCTCAAAACAATTTCAGTCCTTTCTTCTAGAAAATTGAGATAAATGGACCGGGCTCAAAACAATTTTAGTCCTTTTTTCTAGAAAATTGAGATAAACGGACTGGGCTCAAAACAATTTCAGTCCTTTCTTCTAGAAAATTGAGATAATCTTCTAAAGATCTTTGATAAACGTAATAGTTTTAAATAATACGTATTACTATAGGAATTGATTAATTCTCATAAAAGATCCCTGGATAGAAAGTTGAATTTTGGTTTTCCTGATCCAGATGAGACCGGATCTGTACCCCAAACCCCTCCATCCCGTAAACCCGTCACCGGCTAAATAATCAATATGTGTAAAAAACAGTTATTACAACTGAATAAATAATACTAATTTAAACAAACTTTAATTCTTTTTAAATAAGCGTTGGTTTGATAATATAATCAATTTTGTCATTATTGATAAATTAAATTGTGGGTAATTATTTTTAGCATAAAATTTATCATCAAAGTTACGTACATATATATTAAAACATGAATTTTCCGTTAAAAAGATGACTTAGCTAAAAAAGGCCGATAATGACTGTAGTAATTGCAATATTTATGACTATACTAGCAACACATTACTTTTTCACGTTTGTAAAATAATTTTTTCATGTCCAATAAGCTTTTTAATATTGTCATCATCTTTTATTTCACGCACGAAATCTTGCGTTGCTTATGCATGTGGAAATATGAAGGACAAATGAATTCATCGCTACTTTTACTTTTCCTTTTTAACCTATTTCGAATTATAACCTCTCAATGCTACCTACGATTGCGAAAAATAATGCAGAATTATGATTTATTATCGTTGTTATTAAAATATTGACACTTACTGCCCAAACTGTGATATTATATCAACTGGCTTTTGCAGAACAGCTGTGATTAATTAATCGATATTGTGTATGACGTGCTGATGGAAACTAATAAGTCTCAAATTGCGATCTAGTTCTAGTAGGTTCTATAAATTACTAACCAATAACTTTATGCTCTTTGTTACTTATTATTGGCGGTTGTAAAGGAAATTAATTTAAATTATAATCTTTGTTCAAAAAGACACAACAATAAAATTGGATAAATTCATAATCTAGTTTTTTTTGTTTTAATTTATAAAAGCTACCAGTAAAAACAAAAAACTATTTTCCTATAAATCGATATAAGCCAACTTAATTTCTGAAGATGCTTCTGGGATGCGAAACAAAATTGTGACGCTGTGTATCATCAAGTAATGAAGTGAAAGCAAACAAATCACAAATTGCAAAAATGAACAGTTTTAATGGAACATTTTTCGATTGCATGACTGGTTTCGGTCAGGAGGCGTCAAAGTTCAGCAATATTGATTTGGCTAATTACCCAAACGTCTGATTTTGATGATTGAAATTCAATAGGTTCTAATATGCTTAACAAGAATATAAAAAAATGTTTACAACAACAGTTGAATTCAGTACGCATCGAATTAGTCAAACTACAGTCTTAAATTTTTACGATTGATGATGAAAAAGTTTGGCCAACTTGGTCGTCCCCTTGTGGAAAAACAAGCTATAGAAACGAAAAATATTCTGTTAAAATACTGGACCAGGAAATCTTTCATTTTATTTCGGCAATAATCTCAAACAGCCCAGCAATTTCTATTAAGAGTGATTTTTTTTCTTGTTTGAAGTTTGTTCATTCGAAGCCATTTTTAAAAATAGGATATGTCTATATCTGTATGTAGTTTGATCTTTTTTTAAAGAACAGTTTTACTATAGTCACTTTTATTACCATTAAAAATCGAAAACAAAATTCTTTTGTTGCATAATATGCCCCTTAAAGAAAACTAACGTACCAAACAACGAAGTGGCTAGTTTAGCTGACGTAAGCATGAGGTATACACCATAAAGTAGTCCAACGTGTATATACACTTGGGCGATGAGGTCTGGCCATCGTATATGTGGAATGAATTTTTCTTTAGGTTTTTCTGGAAAGGTCGAGGACGTTTCTAATCGACAAAGGGGATCGGTGGAAATAGGGTTGGCTACTGTGGCTTCCTGAGGCACATTTTCTTTTCCTTCGGTCATCCTGTAAAGAAAATTGAATTAAACAAAAAATATTTCTCGAATATTCTTCTGCTTCTCAAACTGTGGGCTATTGGATAAGAATAGGGTTGCCATCCGTCCGGGTTTCCCCGGATTTGTCCTAGTTTGGAGGTCATCCGGGGAGCGTCCGGGTTGGCCTTCATTTGTAGTCCGGGTTTAAAAATTTAAAGTCTTGAGCCGCCCGCGACATACCCATTGTGCTCGCACACCACGATCAACCGACGAACCGAGTCGCTATATTCACCGTACCCCCCCACCCCGTATAACTTATTTTTTTTAGGTTTCATATTTTTATAAGGTTTTGTTTTCATAACAAAGTACATTAATAATTCGAGTTTTATTTTAAGGATAAAAAATGTAACTGATTATTAAAACAATTTATAACAAAGTGTAATAAGATTCTGTTTTGTTAGGTACATGTAAAATGATGATAAAAAATGACTAAATTTAATTTTAAGGTCTGAAAATGAATAAAAAGTTGATTTATGACATTTTCAACGCTTTTTATTGCACTGACTATGTTTAAAAAAACCTCTGACATGTCCGGGTTCTGGACTCTGAAATCCGGGGTTTTCACGCGTCTTGTTCTGGTTTCCAAATTTTAGAGATGGCAACCCTAGATAAGAAGCATGCAGATTGCAGATAACCGGGTAGGTGCAAAAGAAATAATGCCCGTCTATTGTTAATTGAAGAAATGTTTGTACAGGTGATTCCTTTTCTTATCTCTACTGTTTGGTTATGATAGATTAGTAAATTGTACTAACTAACCGATAAAAAAATATGTGTGAGGTTACTACTATCACCACAAATTTCTGAACGCATACAGAGATGACAAATTTTAGATATAAATAGAGCTATGGGTTACGTAAGAAAGTCGTAAGAAACATTAAAGTTATTACTCATTGTAGGAGAGGTTTCTCGGATATTGTAGGTATATGTTTGTGTGGGATGATGCAGTCAAAAAGATGATATCATCCAGCTAATACGTTTAATTTGCATTGCTAAATTTTTACCGAAATATACCGGTTTTCATTTATGTACAAACTTTTATTCATAGTTAGTACCTACAAAACAAGTTATTGCATCTTAAACAAATGACCCTATTGTTTCAATCTTATGACACTGGTGCGTAAGGTCATAACAGCAAGTCCCATTCACATTATTTTAATACAGGAGAAACGCTTTTGGGTACTTCATTTCTACCATTTAATGATACTGGGCGGGAAGACCCTTTGTCAACATTGGGACGAAAACCTGGAGGATGGCGAGGGCTATCTTGGGAGTAGAAAAGGTGAAGACTAAATGAAGGCACAAGAGATATCAATGATCATATATGGAACATTACCATTGCTGCTCTATTATTTACCTTAATGATCCAAGGAAACCACAGAACAATTTAGACCGGGGCAGATAGACCTGGAATCGAACCGGCGTCTACCTGAATGCTACGCGATCGTCTAAAAACCTACAGTTCATACCGCTCGGTGTTTAAAATACTTAAAGTTTTTCTTTTTATACCTTCATCTCTTGAGAAGCCACGCCCATCTTCGCCCCTTCTACTACACCACATCCCCTCTCTCAATTATTCACATATATAAGCTGTGACTATAAAATATGTGTGCAAATACACACGAGAATACTGCTGGACGCCTGGTATATACAAAGAATTATTTATAAACAATGAATACCATGAAAAAATGTAGCTTCAGTGATAAGCCAACAAATTCAGTCAGCATAGAAACAACATGATGTATTGCTAATTGCTATTGGCAGATCAACTCTTTCATAATTTTATACATGTCGCTGCAGCCAATAATAAAAAAATTACACAACACATTTATTAGTTCAACATAGCCCAAATTATTAAATGCCTACGTATTTATATGACATGTACTACCTAGTACAAATACACAAATATTACAACGAAAAACATCAGTGGTTATTTTGAACATGTATATTTATGATTATTTACATAATACTATTTAATAAATTAAACGTTTTAGTTGCTAATTAACCCATGCGGCAATTGGGTCGATGGTAGTCGAGATTTGGCGAATACGACAAGAATAAATTGAAGTCAGTAAATTATATTTGGCTTTTAGCGATTTGTGAAACACTTCTTGACAACATACTGTATGTTCCCTGATAATGAGACGCACGCAAACGTTTTTTGAAATTATGCAATGTAAAATATTAAGTAATGTAACTGTGGTTCAAATGATACCTAGTACTGGACTGATTATTTAGATTTTAATTGTATATGAAGTTGTAAAATCTTTTTCTCAAATTGTCACACGTAGTCTAAATGGTCTTTGGAGAATTAATATAAGTCGATTGGTATGTATTGGTACTTATTAGGTTAATTGCTGCAATTTAAGGATGCTTTTAAAGTCCATTCGGAATGCTTTGCGAGATCTCTAACTGCTGTTAATAAAAATTCGTGAATCTTATAAACACTCAATAAATCACTTAATAAACTTGTCAATGAAAGCTCACAAAGTGCTGTCATACTTATTAAAGCTTTTGATAAATTAAATTAACTTGCCTATTATTCTAAACAAAATTTGAAAATTAATAAGTTTCTTGTTTTGCAACTGCGTATTATATAACTATTTCTTGTCTCATACGCGGTGATATGTTGCTAGAACGCTGCAACAAAAATCTTGAATGTTTTAGAAATCGCAAAGTCTGCAACCTTAGGTCTATTGTTAGATAAACCACGCTAGAAATCTTATCTTATTCGTATCTAAAAACTACAGCTTAATAAGCAATTTCGGAAATACTTATGTGACTGTAGAATGTTTGCGGAAATATTAACATGAACATTTGAGATAGTTAATTATTCAATATTGTTTAGAGAACTCGAAATATATATGGAATACCAGACTGTTGAAGGACACACAGAAATATGTAACACTAAGTTAAAAAAGGATTCGTATGGGTGTTACGCAAGGGAAAATTCTTGGACCTCTATAACTTTTGAATTCTGAATAGCCAGATGGAGATTATGAAGGAGGTTAACAAAATCAAAAGTTCATTGGGAAAACAATACAAACATGAACAGTACAAGAACATACTAAGTATCAATAACCATGACAACATTTGATTGACTTGTGAATTGTACAAAGATCAGCAAAGCATGTGGTAGGTGTTGACGATAAAACATAATTTCAATTTTTTCTATTTGATAATTTAAATTGAATAGAAGTAAATGCGAAGCGAACTGTTCAAATAAATAATTCAAATACTTAATCTTTCAAAATTGCTTAGAAAATTCAAACTATATATGGAATACAACACTGTTGAAGGACACAGAAAATATGTAAATGTAAGTTAAAAAGGATTCGCATAGGTGTTTCGCAAGGGAGAATTCTGAGACCCCTATAATTCTTAAAGAGCATTAATTTCCTGTTTTAGATAATACCACAGGAAGAAGACATGTACCTGCCACATATGAATGCATTATACACGATAACGTCGTGTTTGTTATGCTTTTAGAATTGTTTTTTTAATACACTGCCTCTTCCGTTTCCATCTAATAATTTTCGCTGGTTCTAGTCTTTCGAAATGTGAAAATAGCCGTAAATATATTCACATGAGTCACTTTTACCAAAAATTCTAATAAAAAATTAATCAAGATTGATTATATGGATTTATTACTCGTTTTATTTCTTTGTAGTGTTTCGCTTTCCATTTCAATTTTTTTCTGGTAAAGAAATTATTGATAGCTTTTCCAATCAACACTTGTTGTTAGTTCGCTTCGAGTAAATTAAATGGAAATGATTACAGTGCCGTTAAAAAGTTTTGATGCATCTATCCCGATACTTAGCTATAGGGTGATTTCCCTATAAAGAAACGTTTTATTCCTCAACAACATCCCTTTCTTTTTCACTTATTTATCGCACGTTTAAATGAAACTGTAATAGAATATTTTCTACCAAAAAAATCAAAAATGTTTGTATGCTTCTTTTACTTATTTGATTTTTCTCTTTTTTTATATTTAGTCGTATTCTTTTAAGTCTTCGGGGAAGTACCAAATGTATTAGGGATTTCGTAGCACTGGCGCAACACAACAAACAAATATCGATTTTTAAAGTCGATGAAAAATATTCGTATCCATAAGCGAAGATTTAGTTTGTTCTTCAGTATTTACACATAAAAATATAATTGTGGATTTCTTTAAATTTTTTGACATTACTGTACCTAATTATAAAATTTATAGCTCTATTGTTATAAATATAAAGGACCATAAAATGTTTGTTCCTACGCACCTTGGGTATATCAAACTGTAACATTAACCTATTACGACTAAGGACCTTCAACCAGAAATTATATTCTTTATATGTATATTATACATATATCTAACTCTAATTACTCAGAAGGTCGTTAATGTGGTGTATCTATAATGCGAATTAAATGAAAAGACAATAAAACAAACACCTACTTGGTGTATCTATTAATGTACATATGTATGCATCTATTACATTTGGGTGCAGTTATTATAAACAAATTATTGTCCTACTAAAACAACACATCAAAAATGTGGTAGGTTCGTCGTATAGGTACTCCAAAAGTTTATTGAAATATGTAATTATTAAGTACTTATTGGGAATGCCACCACAAGTTTAAATATTTGCATATACGTATACCTATGTATCTAGTCACGCTAATGATAAATTATATAACAGCATGGGTTGAAGGTAAAAATTCAATAATTATTGTTTTTTTTTTTAGTATGTTCAATACAACAGAGAGTTTATATAAATTAAACGCACAATATTTGTGTTTATAATATATAATAGGAATATTTTTTATTTGATACTTCAAATTAAACATACAATTATTATTTTTGTACGAGTTCAAGTTGTTACACTGGTTTTTATACGTACAACAGTTCAATTAGCGCTATGTACTCTACTTTTTATAATTACAAACTATCTCCATCCCAAATTAGCTTTGACTCTCCTTATCTCGACCCTGTACTAACTATTTTATCACTTACTAAAGATTATAATATGTAAATAGGTATAACACATCCGTCTACAGTTCTTATCTATTTTTTTTGTTGGTTCTTGCAAGGATTGGATTTTTGTCTTATTTTCGTTATAAACTGTAGGTATTTTTGCCTAGAATTATGCAAAACTTTTCCTTTCGATGTGATTATTTATTCGAGAAAGCTCTCACAAACATGATGTAATGTCTATCAGAAAATTGAATTAATCGTACTGACTGTGTCGGAGATTATTAATGGATTTTTCGTTTTAGATTAGATTTTTCCCATTATCCTTCTGTTATATTAAAGAATTTAACAAAAATTTAATTTTAAATGATGTCCCTATTACAAAAATTCGCAGAATTTATTAGGTGTAAAAATTGAGTAACATGTTACACATTTCTTGTGTGTTACAAATCAACCCTATAGAGGTAAAGCACATGGTTTTGCCCCACTATTTCTTACCTGTTGATAGATAATGTCGTCCGGTCCTGAACAGGTAGAAAGAGGAGATAAATATCCACAACAAAAAGAGAAATCGCCGCAAGTGCCTCAACGAGATGTACTAGTTTTTGTAGCTAACGGTAACAAAACTAGCTTGACGTTTCGGTATAAAAAAGAGGTACTCATTCCTCCGTCGAGTTTTCACTTTCAATAACAATCGTATTAACACATGGATTCGATGCGTCGAGGACGTTGTCCGTCGGCGTCGCCGTTTCGGTTCGGTGTTAAGACGATATAATCGATAAGCGTCGAAACGCAGACCGACGCCAGCTTCGCACAACTAACAACTAACGAACTAACAAGCAGGCTTCGTAATACGACTCCGCTACACACACAATAACATCACATCACAGCAGGCGTGTTGTAGAAGTAGCTTTCGACATCAAGAGTAGAACAAACGCGAGTTCGTCATGACGTAACACCATGATGGAATTGGGTGTTGGTGGCTTGCTCGCTTGGTATCAGAAGAATCCACGAGCAGAGTATAGCAACACTCCCAACGTACGTAACAATCGTAAACGTAATCACAATTCACAGCAAGAAATATGAGACCGCGTGGTAGAGCGAGTAATGGCCCCGTTAAACGCATTTGACCTTTAAATCTAGGCTTAGGATTAGTTTACTAGTGCATACTTCAGAAACTGTCCAAAAGTTCGCATTCTATCTAAATGCACCTACGATTGTTTCATAGGAAACCGTCGTTCCAATAATAAGGTACGATGACTGCAAGCTTTTAGTTAGTTCGGATATTAACTAGGAAATCCCAAATGTACCTATGCTTATTTCGTAGAAAGTCATCCTCCTAGTATTGTACAATCGATACATGTTTTCAGTTAGTTTGGATGCTAGCTAGTTAGTTTGCACATTAAAGTAACTAATCGATACAGAAACTATCCAAATGTCTCTTTGTTTGTTTATAAAACATCATCGTTCTAGTATACCACAATGTTTGCATGTTTTCAGTCAGTTCGAATACTATCTAGTTACTTTACACGCTACAATAACTAGTCAATACCGAAACTATCCGAATTACCTACGATTGTTTCATAGAGAATCACGGTGCCAGTATAGAATGACGGCTGCAATTTTTTATTTAGTTTTGGTACTATCTAGTTAGTTTGTACATTAATATAACTAATCAATACTGAAACTATCCAATTGTACCTATGTTTGTTTCATAGAAAACTATCGTTCTAGAATGGCACTATGACTGCAAGTTTGTAGTTAGTTTGGATACTATCTAGTTAGTTTGCACATTAAAGTAATTAATCGATACAGAAACTGTCCAAATATACCTGTGGTTGTTTCATAAAACACCATCGTTCTAGAATTGTACGCTGGCTGCAAGTTTATGGTTAGTTTGCATGATATCTAGTTACTTTACACCCTAAGGTAACTAGACAGTACAGAAACTACCCGATTGTACTTATGGTTGTTTCATAAGATATCATAGTTACAGTATGAAACGGCGACTGCAATGTTTCAGTTAGTTTGGATATTATCTGGTTAATTTGTACATTAATAAATCTAATCAATACAGAATATATCAGATTATACCTATGATTGTTTTATACAGACTTGTGGTTCCAGTATGGCACGATCGCTACAAATTTTCAGTTAGTTTGGATAGGTACTATTTAGTTAGTTTCCACATTAAAGTAACTGATTAATACAGAAATTATCCAAATATACCAATGGTGGTTTCATAATAGACTGTTGTTCTAGTACGGTATAATGGCTGCGAGTTTTCTGTTAGTTTGGATACTGTCTACCTACTTTACACACTAAAGTCAGTAATTAATGTAGAAACAATCAGATTGCACTTATGGTTGTTTCATAAAGAGTCATGGTTCCAGAATAGCACAATGACTGTAAGTTTTCAGTTACTTTGCATACTAACGAGTTGGTTTGCACATTAAAGTTTCTAATTAAAAAGGAAACTATCCAAATATACCTGCGATTGTTTCATAAAAGACCATCGATCTAGAGTCTAGATAATAGCACAATCGCTACAAGTTTTCAGTTAGTTTGGATACTGCCTAGTTATTTTACACACTAAGGTCACTAGTTAATGCAGAAATAATTAGATCGCACTTATGGTTGTTTTATAAAGAGTCATGGTACCAGAATGGTACGATGACTGCAAGTTTTCAGTTAGTATGCGTACTATATAGTTGGTTTGCACATTCAAGGTTGTAATTAATATTTGTTTCATAAAAGATCGTCGATCTAGTCTAGTTTGGATACTATCTAGTTAGTTTACATACTACAACGGAAATGTATGTAGAATCTATCCACACAAATGTACATTTCGATAGATCGTTCCAATAAAATGCGGTGATTACTAATTTTTGATTGGTTTACATAGGTATTATTCGGTTAGTTTGCAAACTACATAAAAGTGTACAAAACAACAAATCAATACAGAAACTGTCGAAATATATGGATATTCTTATACGCAGAAAACCATCGTTGGTTGAAGTAGCAGCTATTATTCACACAATTTGCATACTAATATCTAGTTAGTTTGCACGCTACAGGAGAAACGTTCTTGTTCCTAGAAAAATTTTCGTCAGTAATTTTTAGAATACATAAATGCGACAATTCATTGCTTCCAAATCTGCCTAATTTTATGCTTTCAAACGATTTGTAGGTAGGACAACGAAAGGAACAGTTATGGCACCTGACTCCTCATCATTGCGGTTGGAATTAGAAATATCACCACACCTTGAGATTAGACATTGACTTATGTCCTCATATAACATATTCTATATTCGGGTGTTACGTAACACTTTATTTACATTATAAATGTCATTAAAGTTATCCGCGCAAGGCATTCACTCGATCGATTTCAGAATAGACAACTACGTAGAAAACTTTATTTAGATGGAAACGTTAAATATAAAAGAACAAATTGCGACATTAACTAGTTGACGAAATCAGCAATAAAATACAGAGAGAGAAGATGTAGATGCAGTACAGTTCGTCTTCAAAAATTAGAGTTCATGGATTTTCGGGCATTTCCGACAAAGTTGGCTTTATTTTAGCACTCATGTTAAGGGTATTGTTATATTGTCATGCATTTTTGGCACTTAGTGTGTATGTTTTGGGTTTTCTTGGCACTTGTTGTTAGTATACCTGTTTTTAGTTTATGTGTTTGCATGTTTTTGGTTTGTTCTGAACTTTAATCCATTAGTTCTTTCTGAATTGGTACATTCTTAAATTTTACATATTCTGTATCAAATTAGCATGTCACTGGTCGATTTTCGATAGCAATTTAGCTTATTCCCACTCTCAGATAATTTTCGGCACCTATTTGGCTTGTTTTTGATCTGCTTTCAATATTAATTCGGCGTTGAATCGTCTAATTTTTAGTTTGCAATCAGCTTCTAATCGGCGTGGCTTCGGTCTATTATTCTTTTACCTCATTTTGGCATATATTTGAACAATTTTCATTTCATTTCTTCTAGTTTCATCCAGTCTCTAATTGGATGTCGAAAAGCGTTTTAGATTTTTAAACTTTTTGTGGAAATTTTGGCTTTTAATTGTTCATTGCTTTTGTTTGTTTTCATCATTACTCAAAACCAAAGTAGGTTTTCAATAGTTTTATTCAGAATTTAAGTAACTTTTTTCAGTACTGCTTTGGCACTCAATTCGGTTTATTTTCAGCATTGGATCGGTACGCGTTGACTTTAATTGAACAGTTTATTCCAGTTTATATTCAGCATCCGATGGTCATCTTTTCGGCTAATTTTTGACCTCCTTTTGTTATCCAATTTGTTAATTTTCAGCACTTTGGCACACATATGAACAGTTTTCACTTTAGTGCTTCTAGTCTTATCTAGGTCCCAGTCCCTAACTGAAGCTGACAGCTTAGATGTCGAAACTCATGTGAGGCTTCTAAACGTTGTGTGAAATTTTGGTTTTTAATTGTTCATTGTTTTTGTTTGTTTTCATCATTAGTCAAAACCAAAGTAGATTTTCAATAGTTTTATTCAGTATTTACCTAAGTAACTTTTTTCGGTATTGCTTTGGCACTCAATTCGGCTTATTATTGTCGGTTTATTTTCGGCATCGGATCGGTACGCATTGACTTTAATTCAACAGTTTATTCCAGTTTATATTCAGCATCCGATGGTCATCTTTTCGGCTAATTTTTGACCTCCTTTTGTTATCCAATTTGTTAATTTTCAGCACTTTGGCACACATATGAACAGTTTTCACTTCATTGCTTCTAGTCTTATCTAGGTCCCAGTCCCTAACTGAAGCTGACAGCTTGGGTGTCGAAACTCATTTCAGGTTTCTAAACGTTGTGTGAAATTTTGGCTTTTAATTGCTCATTGCTTTTGTTTGTTTTCATCATTACTCAAAACCAAAGTAGGTTTTCAATAGTTTTATTCAGAATTTAAGTAACTTTACTGTCGGTTTATTTTCGGCACTTGGTCGGTACGCTTTGACTTTAATTCAACAGTTTTTTTCAGTTCATGTTCGGCATCCGATTGTCATCTTTTCGCCTTACTTTTAGCTTCCTTTTGGCATTCATTGGCTTTATTTTCGGTAGCGGTAATTGGTTTCGTCTGGTTAATTTTCGACAAGAACCCCCACTTTAACCACCCAGATCATTTTCGACTACATTATAGTTCCAAATTGCACTATATTCCTTATTTTTCTCATTAAATTGGCTTGCTTTTTGACTACGTTTGACTGAATTCAGTTATTATGTTTTAATCAGAAATCTGTTGTATTTTTTTTTTAATTTTTTAGTCTAATCTTTTCTTCGTAAAACCATGGTATGCAACTTAAGAGCAGTTAGCAAACTTGTGTTAATCGAAGTCATTTCTGTTTGGCTACAGTCTTTATTGTGAATTTTGTTTGGGAATAACAGCACTTTATGTAGTGATTTCATCAAAATACAATGCCGATAAATTGTTGAAACAATTGAACAAAATTAGTAAGACGGCGACATACAACGATAAATTGGTGTCAGGTCATTCATTACATGTGTGCATGTATTTCAGTAAATGTCAACAGCAGTAACATATATCGAACACACGAACCAACTAATACGACAAACGTTAGCAGTAAACCAGTGCGATAATGATTTGAAGTTAATTATAGTTTAATTGGGTATTTTTAATTTGATTTACGTTTCTAATTAATGTAAACGTTGAAATTACTTTTTTTACTGCTTTCTCGTCAAGTGATTAATTAATTTGAAAGCCATCGTATTACTAGAAATACATTTTTGATGTTATATTTCTTTTGATGTGTTGAGAGTGAAGTTTCAAAATGGGACGGATGTTGCGTACGCAACTCTTAAAGGCAACTGTCAACGGAAAATGTTAACTATCAACTGCAATTGGCATCATTCTTAAATAAATACATAATATGCAATTATTCATTTTTAAACCTATTTTTTACTGTATTTTAACAATTTCCCTTTTTTCCACTTCACATTTAGACTCTAGTTTATTTTAGCGAGTAATCTATAGTCATGTCTAGGTATACCTGTGTGTTTATTTGTACGTTGTTTTTTCTAATATATTACGAACAAAATGGTTCTCTTTATGGTCTATTCCTTTCGCTAATCAATTCCGCTGCCTTTGTTGTTATCATCAAAAGGCTTTGGGTTGTCGATAACGAACGAGTTTAGAAATACGCTCTCTATACCAAAACCCTTATTAATGAAAATAGCGTTTTTGTTTTCATTTACACACCAGTTGCATTATCAAAGCTGACATTTCGATCGGAGGGGTGGCGCACGTGTAAATTTAGCCGACCCTCCGTCGTAAAATCGGGGTCGAAGTCGTCATAAAAAAACCTTTAATCAAATTACGCCCACACACGCAAGCGAATTCGGTAAATAAATAAAATAATTGTTTGCACCAGAACGATCAATGATGTCATTGGTATAGGCGTGCATGGATACTAAATGGGAACAGTCAAAATTTTTAATAGATTAACACTTTCTTCGAAATGTGGTGTTATAGGCGGATGATGAGGATAACGTGGGTAGAAAAGGTTAGAAATGAAGAGGTGTTAGAAAGAATAGGAGAACAGAGGACTCTATGGAAGTCAATAAAAAATAGGCGAGATAGGTTGGTAGGACACCTTCTCAGGCATGAAGGTCTAGTCAGAGACATATTAGATGCAGAAACAGGAGTTAAGAGGGGTACAGGTAGACCTAGATTAGATTAGTGTTTGCAAATAGTTAAGGATGTGGGATGTTCTAGTTTTAGGGAAATGCGAAGTTTAGCTCAGGATAGGAAAGAGTGGAGGTACGTGTCCAACCAGTCTTAGGACTGACGACCTTATGATGATGATGATAACACTTTCTTATTTTCTCAGTAGGTATACATACAATCACGAAAATACCGCGTATTTTGTTGCCTGTTGTTTGATTCACTTACTTATCAAAACCTTTAGTAGAGATTACGTAGCCAAACGATAAATAATCCAACTTTTATTTGATAGTTAATATAACTTTTTGGCTAATCTGTTTTTGTGGTAATTAAGGCACCTAAATCGATTAGTTTTGTCGATCTTTTGTTCAACTGAATCTAATTTGAGCAAATTGAAAATGTGCCGAATAATTTGTCGATTTTTCAGTTTGATTTCGATTAATTTTGAAATGTTACTTTAGAAAATACCTTAAACGTATGCCTGATGCGGTAATCGATAAAGCGGCACGCTTTGATAACCACATACTTGTGGGATGGAATACTGTTGGTATAAAACAGGTTATGTAAATGGTACAAATGAGAAATCTAAACGGTGATGTAAAATATGGGAAGACTGAAGTAATTTTAAAAATAAATTACTCATAATATGCCAATTCTGTTTGAATTATTAGTTAGGTGTAGGTACTAGAAAATTCCTTGCAATACATGAGGTTTTTAACCTAACACAGAAAGCTTACCCAAATTTCATTCGCTTTTATCTAATTATTGTACTGGAGGCGATTCTTAATTCATTTCAGTCGATGCGTAGGTAAATAGACAATTTTTTTGTTGTCAAAGAGTGTTCCAGATAAGAAAACTGAAAGCGGTGGTGCGTGCTTTGTGGATCGACGAAACAAACGAATGATTATTTTTGAAGTAGGTACACTTCAAAGTGTTACATTTAAAAATGACTGCACATTGCCAAACAGAATTTTTGAACTGTTTATTGATTAACACACGATTGGAAGATTGAAAACCTTTTTACGTTTACAGATCAGTATTTGGGTAATATTGTAAGCCAATAATTTACGTTTCTTACGTAAAATTGTTTTCGAGATAGATCTGACAACAAAATGTATGCCTTTAATCCAGTGATTCCCAAGGTGTGCGCCGCGGGTCCCTGGAGTTTTTTGCACCCTGTTTGGATGTATGAAGCCACCTTTAAATAAGTTTTTTTTATAGCTTTTAAATACGATTTTTAATTTTCAGCCAAGGATTCACAAATGTAACTGTTGCCCTTTGACCTATTTAATAGAGAATATTAAAAATTAACAGATTAGATTACTGTTCGCAAATAATTAAGGATGTGGGTTGTTCTAGTTTTAGGGAAATGCAAAGTTTAGCTCAGGATAGGAAAGAGTGGAGGTACGTGTCCAACCAGTCTTCGGACTGACGACCTTATGATGATGATGATGATGATGATGATGAATATCATTAACAGCAAAAAGGGAATCAATTGTAAATGAATATTTCTTTTTCGATCTGTTTAAGGAAAGTAAAAATTAGATTCTTGCTACGTTACACATTCGTTTGTTGTTTATAAAAAAAAAAGAAAAAAAAATGTATTTTAGAAGTGATATGAAACAAAATTAAGTTGAATACGGTTCTGCATTTGTCCTAATTGCGAATTTTGTTCGAAGATCTAGATCGCGTAGTCAGCGTCTAGGAATACAGAAATATCCCAGTGAATTAAATATTATTCTGGAAGCCGTGAATTTTTAAGTAGGCAGATATATGTATGTAACAACTCTATTTTAAAGTTCGAATGATTTAAGAAACGAACAAGAAGCCTATTTTAATAAGCGTAAATTTATTTAGCGCTTTCTGCAATTTTTCTACTGGTGCAAACAAATGAAATGCTTATACTTTGATATTTGAAACCGGCAGCAATACATACATTTTATTTATTTATACCTAAATAATACTTATACTAATTATAATAATATAGAAAATTTCGTTAATTGTATCGTTTACAAGTTTATTAAGAATAAATTAAATTTAAATAACAACCCCCTAATAGGGTCAATATCGAATAAGGCATTTATTTCATTTGAAATTAAGAAAATCGAGAAATAGCTAATAGTTATAACTTATTAATTTTTGTAGAAGACGCCAACAAAAAGTTTATTATAGGCAACACATTTAACTTCTAATGCT